GGAACATCACAAAGCTGAAATGAGACCTCAGAGATAGGCAAACACCTGGCCCAGCTCATAGAAATACTCAGTTACGAGTGATTGAGTTGGGACCTATAGAACTCTTGAGAAAGCTCTGAGCAAGTCTAAGATATGGACATTCCTTTGACATGTGCCCTATGGCTTAGTGCAGCGGTTCTCAACCTGTGGGTCACAACCCCTTTAGGGGTCGAACAACCCTTTCACAGAGGTCTTGCCTAAGACCATCGGAAAACACATATATAATTACATATTGTTTTTGTGATTAATCACTATGCTTCAATTATGTTCAATTTGTAACAATGAAATTGGGGGTCACCACAACATGAGGAACTGTATTAAAGGGTCACGGCATTAGGAAGGTTGAGAACCACTGGCTTAGTGGTTTATAGCTTTAGAGTCAAAGTCATGTGTTTGAAGCCTACCTATGCCATAACTAGCTGTGTGTTTTGAGGCAAGTTACTTAACTTCTCTGAACAGCAGGTTTTTCTTGTTTCTTTCACTAACTTCTTTAAAATGATGCCACCTATCTCAGAGAGTTGTGGTGGGGATAAAATGTAGATATAACCCAGTGTGTGGAATATACCAAAGTCCCAGTTGTAAAAATATTATTCTGCTTTTAGTTATGAGTTAAGAATAAGCACTGATGATACAGGGCTTTTGAAGTCCTAATTAATGCAAAAACTGGTGCGTAGAGGGCCTGGGGGCTAGGGTTTGAGGGTAAGGGTTAGGATTTTCATCTTTCCAGACCAAATGGGAGCACTGCACTCACGCAATAGGAAGTGCTTCCTGGCTCGGGCGGAATGTGGGAGGAGCACGCAGTGGAGGCTGAGAGCCCTGGGGAATCTTTGGGAATGAGATCGAATCAGACAGTGTGAAAGGTCAGGGCTGACTGGGCTCTGGGAGTTCTTCAGTCCAACCCTGCCACTGCACCGAGAGGAAACTGAGGCCCAGCTAGGATAACACCATGACCCCCTGCCCCACAGCTGACTGGTAACAAGCTCTGGTCTCCTGAATAGAGGACATCTGTGTTCTCCACAATGTGGAAGGATGGCAGTAAGGAGGGGAAGTCTGGCAGGAGCCCGAGGCTGGAGGAGGCCCCTGACAGTCACAGGAGGGCTAACTGGTGGTGACCAGATGTTTTGTTGCCTTAGGGTGCTGGTTGGTCTGTGTTTAGGGACTAACAGTCCTGGAAGACCTTGTCCCCACAGGAGAAGAAAGGGATGGGCAAGGAGACAGGATAGGGAGGACATGGAGCTGTTGGTATCGGGGAAGTTTCCATGGAGAGAAAGGTGGCTGGTGGTGGGAGCAGGTTAAATCCCTCTGGCCCAAGTTCAAGTCCACTGGATTTTGTTCCATTGTTGCTACCTGTTTTTCTACATTGCTTCTCATACTTTTCTAACGTGGGGACCTCCATTGCCCGTCTTTGTAAAGGGGTTTTGCAGAAATGACTCTCTGGTCACCTCCACCTTCCCTCCTCCCTGCCCAGGGTGAGTGCAAGGGTTTACCTTTCCATCTGGAGGTAGCTCAGAGCCTGAGGAGAAGTCAGATCCTCTGGGTCAGACGTCCCAGTTACCAGAGGTTAAGCCAGGTGGCTTAAATCTGACTGGGCTTGTTTCTACGATGCCCGGCTTGGTGGCCCATCCACGTCTGGAGAAGGGCTCCTGGCTGAGGCTCTGGGTCGGGCAGTCACCTTGCTGTGATGATGCCATTGAAGCTGCAGCAGCAGTGAGGGCCCAGTGTGATCCAGGCATCTCATTTATGTTACCTCCTTTTCTCTTCACCAAAACCCAGTGGGGAAGATGCTATCATTATTATCTCGGTGTCACAATTGAGAAACCTGAGGTTCTGAGAGGTAAAGACCTCATGAAACATACTCAGGGTCACCAGCCAGGGGTCAAATCCCAGTTCCTCCCACTTCGAAGACTCTGTTCAGGTGGAGGAGGGGTTACAGCAGGGGTTGATGGGAACTCGGGGTGATGGCAGGTGGAAGCTGTTGCTCCTGATGGAAGAAAATCAGGTGGCCTTTGGAATCTTCATGACCCTTTCCTGGTCTAGAGGAGACCTTTGACACTGGAGCTCTTTCTAAACTAAGCTGTGGAGATTGGTCTTCTCTAGTGGGGGAGGCTACTAGGGGCTGGAGCCGTGGGCCAAAGGGCCATTGATGCGGGAAGGCAAGCTCTGGTGTGGTAAGTCCGACAACAGCCTGAACACTGGGGTTCAATCCCAGCTCTGTCCTTCACCTGTGAGACCCAGATAAGATATTTCTTCTTTGAACTGTAGTTTTCTGATCTCTCCATGAAGCTAGATAATTTCCAGCTGAATGTCTGTGGCTTTAGTTTTGGATGCTTCGATGTGTCCCTAAGAAAGAGAGGCAGCAACAAACTTAAAGAGGGATTCATGGGGAGGAGGACGTCCTCAGAAATAGAAACATACTCAGCAGCTGTCAAACTGGCCTCCCCTTAAAGGGGCAGATATACAGCGTTCCCCTGGGTGTGCAGGCCCTTCTCTGGGTCTACTTCCTCCTTCCTCCTGAGGCCACTCCCCTCCCCATCACTCCTTATACTCAGGGGAGACATTAAAAATATTTAAGGAAAGCCATGGTCAGTGTTTCACGCACTGAAGGATCACAGGTTCGATTCCCAGTCAAAGGCACATACCTGGGTTCCAGGTTCAATCCCTGAGCCCAGTTGGGGCACATACCGGAGGCAGCCAATCTATGTGTCTCTCTCATATCAATGTCTCTCTTTCTCTCCTATCTCCCTTCCTCTCCTTCCCTCATTTCCACTGTCTCTGAAAAGCAATGAAAAATATATTTACAGGTGAGAATTAACCAATAACCAAAATATATATTTAAGGTATGGCATGGCACCAACTAATCAGAGAAGTCACAGCTGTAAACAGCTGGTGTAAGACTAACAGGGTATGCTAGCTGTATGCCTGCCCAGCCCCCCACCCCTGCTTCCTCCTGGCAAAGCCTGGCTCAGGGGGTGAAGGGCAAAGAAGGACAAGAAAGAAGACTGGGGGAGCGAGAAGAAGTTGAGGCGGTGAATGCAGAAAAGAGTTCACAGGTCCTCCCAGACATCAGCTCATCTCTCCCCGAACCCCATCATGCCATCAACCCAGCCTCACCATGGCCTCTTTCCTGCCTAAGCTCTGTGCCCTGAGCAGAGCAGTCTTGCCCGCCGGCTGAAGCTTCATTTTGAAGGCTGGTGGAAAAAAGGGGACCTGGTCTGTACTCTGCCTCATCATCCCAAACTTGACAACGGGCAGGGGACTCCCAGGGTAGTCCACCCCATCTGCCTGCAGAATTGTTGCTTTACCAAGCCTGAGAGTCAGGGACCAGGGCTTTGTCTCATCCACTCTTGGCTGACAAGTCCTATGGCCTCCCTTGCTCTCTTGTTTTCCTCAGTGCCACCTATTCCGGGTTTGCCACCATGTACCAGGATTGCTGTGTTAGCCTGCCTGCTGCTTTCTCTACTCCCAATTTCAAGATTGTTCCCTTGTTTCCTACAAGTGTTCCAGTTCGCTTATCAATGACTAGAAGTCAGAGATTTTAATCATGATTTCTTTTTTTAAAATATATTTTATTGATTTTTTTTACAGAGAGGAAGGGAGAGGGATAGAGAGTTAGAAACATCGATGAGAGAGAAACATCAATCAGCTGCCTCCTGCACATCCTCTACTGGGGATGTGCCCGCAACCAAGGTACATGCCCTGGGACCCTTCAGTCCGCAGGCCGACGCTCTATCCACTGAGCCAAACCAGTTAGTTAGGGCTCAATCATGATTTCTTGACCGATTGATAAGGACCCCTTTCCTCCTGTGAAAACACAGGTTGGTTGTTTTTCAATTGACCACAAAATATTTTTTGAACATTAAGTGCAAGGCATTTTATTAGCTATAGAAATTGGGGGGAGGTGGTCAAAGAAGCAGGAAGCATGGCCCTGTCTTCACTGTGGCTGTGCTGAGCCAATATGTAAATACATAGTAGACAACCCACAACACAGGCAGCCTTGGGTATATGCTGTTTGAGGCTATCCTGTCACAAAGTTTATAAAGAAATATAAAAGCTCCAGGATGACAATTAAAATGCATTATGACTTATATGAGAGGCCAGATCAGATGGCTAAGTTAGTAGTGAAATGGTTAGGGCTTAGGAGACAGAGCAATGCTCTCCAGAAGTTACCTTGCCTTTACTAGGAACAGGTTATGCCACATTTCACTTATTTTTTCTTGATCAGGTTCTAGGGCTTGGGCCAAAGGAATGCCTTAGGTCAGGCTTAGCTCAGTTCCACCAGACTTCAGGGAGCGTCTCCTCCGGTGCCCTTACAGGAAAGGGCTGGGTAACGACGTGGTTTGTGGATCAAGAGCTGGTTGGAGGACTGTTCCCTGAGAGTGGACTAGTCCTTTGCCATTCCCATCTAGGTCTGTTTGTATCCTTGCTGTGTTCAGCATTTTTAGGAATGATGTGAGTAAAGACCATGGACATGTTCTGATCATTCTGTTCATGACCTAAATCCAGAAGAAGCAGCTAAAAACCAATACTTTAAATACCTTAACCCTTCCCTCCCCGTTGGATGAAACCTTTAAACTAGGTATCCCCAAACCCCAGGATGAATGAAATGAGTGAGTGAGCCCTGCTGGGTGTGAGTCTGCCAACATCAGGGAATAGGATTCCCTGACGTGATGGGAGAGGCAAGATGAGGGCCATCTCTGACCTCCTGAGAGTCCAGTGTGGGACTACACCCATCCTCTTCCCTAGAGGCACAGAGAAGGAATCTGCAAATGTGTGTCAGGAAACACTGGGATGGTGAGATGAGGAGGAAATGCCTCCAGGTAGAAGGAGCCAGAGAAATGCTTGGCTGTTGGGTTGAGGGCTCCTGACAGTTGAACAAAGAAGTTACGGGGGCAGAGGGACCACTGTCCCCGCCCACCTGGCTGCCATGTCTGACCCTCTGTGCTCTCTGCTCCCCTACTCAGATCACGATGAGGACCTAGGGCACCCGCCTGTTGACTGTCCCCCTGGCCTGCAGTGACCATGGCCCCCCGCAAGAGGAGTCGCCATGGCCTGGGCTTCCTGTGCTGCTTTGGGGGCAGCGACCTCCCTGAGATCAACCTCCGGGACAATAACCCTCTGCAGTACCTGGAGTTCTCCGGTCCCATCCCAAACACGGAGGAGCTCAACGTCCGCTTCGCAGAGCTGGTGGTGAGTGAGGGGCTGGGAAGGTGATGGCAACGAGGAGGGGAGTGGCTGGAGCAGGCAGAGCAAGACAGAGGGCAGGGGCCTGTGTGCTGGGATCATAACCTCTGAAGCTCTGCGTGGTGCTGAGGTGGGCCCCCAGGACCCCCGAGCTGTGTGGGAGCAGCAGACCACTCACCAGGCAATGCATCCCCAGAAGAGCGGACCTACCTCATTTCTGCTTTGGCTTCTAGATCTAACGGACAGCAGTTAGGCCACCGTGGAAAGAGCAGGTCCAGGTTTTTGTGAAATGAGGCAGTGAGAGCATCCGAACCTGACCTTCTCTCTGATCTTGGATTTCCCTGATCCTTTTACCCCAGGCACAGGAAGAAGAGGCAGGGTGGGATTCTGTAGGCAGACACTGGGCACCCCAGTGATGACTGGCTAGAAATATGGAGATGGGGATGCCTGCATGGCACCTGGAGCTGCCTGGGGCCGGGGATGACTGTATCCCACGCCCAGCCTTAGGGAGGCAGCAGCCCTGCCATTCACACTGGCATCAGCCCTTCTCTCTGATGCCACCTGGACCAGAGCAATAGCAGTGTGCCTTTGTGGGAACCGCTGTGTGTGAGAAACTTCTCCTCTACCACAAAGGGGCAGAGCAGGAAAGAAGCATGATTCCGCTCATGGGAGGTGTGCTGGTGAGATCGCCTGCAGGCCCAGGCAAGCCCAGACCAGGGATGTAGGACCTGTACCCAGGATTCAGACATGAGCCCTGCCGTAGGGCAGAGTGACAGGCACAAGCCCATCTACTGGAGCCTATCTACCTACCGTGAGCTCCAGATCACTCATGCTCCTGGTTGACCAATATAGAGATGATGCTGTGTGATTCGGAATGAGATATCATACTTGCATTCAATAATAGACGTATCTGATTAAGGCCATCTAGCCCTTAAAATAACAGGACGCTATCAGACGAGAACATGAAGGTTATGTGAAAACGTTGCCCGCCCTCCTCATCATATCCGGTTTAGGATACTCGTGGCTGCCTTAATTTATGCCCTTCTCTCAGGATAGGGCGAGGTTGGGAGAGAGCAAGCGTTTCCTAGTGTGGACTAACACGTGGAGCCCGATGCGTTAGTCAGCGCCGCTAAGATCTGTTTTCACTCAGAATGTTGCTGCCACCACGTGTGGGTTCCCACACCAAGCAATTCCAGTTCTCTGTGGACACCAGCGGGTGTCCCACAGTTTAACTCGTTTCTGACACTAGCTACCCAGAATTAGCACAGACCCCATGGGTTGAGGGCTCAGCCCACAAGACTGCTCCCCACTTCATACACCAATCACAGCTAGTGGGTTCCCAGGTTACCCACACTGCTGTTCGACTTGGCTACAAATTGGGGGTTTCCACCATCCCCACTTCAGGTTCAGTAATTTGTTGAATGGCCCATAGAACTCAGGGAAACACTTTTCTTACTAATGCCAGTTTATAAGGGATGTTATGAAGAATACCAGCGATGAAGGGGTGCATAGAGTAAGGCCCAGCAGGGTAAGGACAGTGAGCCTCTGTCCCTAGCACAGGAGCCTCTGTCCCTGTGGACTTTGGGGTGCAGCACCCTCCCAGCGTCTGAATGGGTTCAACACCCTGGAGGCTCCGAGCCCTGCCATTTAGGGACTTTTATGGCAATTTCATCATGTCATGATCAAGTTTTAGCTCAATCTCCCACCCCTCTCCTCCTTCTGGAGTTTGTTAGGCGAGGCTGAAAGTTCTAGGCTTCTAGTCAGGGCTTGATCTTTCTGGTGCCCAGCCCCCATCCGGAAGCAATCTAGGTCCCACCACGAGTGGAGTTGCTTCATTCTTACGTCACTCGAGGAAAAGAAGCTCTTATCACCCAGGAAATTCCATGGGATTTAGGAGCTCTGTGCTAGGAACTGGGAACAAAGATCAAAAGTGTATCCCTTGCGCTGTCACAGGCAGGGACGTTTTCTCGGTCAGAAGGCATGAGTTTTGATAGGAGGACATGACGAGAGAAATTCCTGCCTCTGGCCCTTTGATTCAGCAAGTATTCACGGAGTACCTTTTGTGAGCCGGGCTCCTAACAAGGCGAGTTGGCAAAGCAAGAATGAGTCCGAGAAGTCTTGTCTGTGAGGAGACTTAGTGTCGGTTATTGAAAAATAAATGAAGAAAGTGTTTATTGGGAGACTGCTGTGTGCTGGGCCCGGTGGGACAGGGGTTTAATGATGAGCCAACAGGCACAGTGGTCGCTGACAGTAGGACAGACTGAACTTGAACAGTCTGACCAGTGTGATGAGTGTTAGGGAATGTTCAGGGGGCCCATGGAGTGTCTAGCAGGGAGCTTTATTCTAGAATGGGGGTCAGGAAGGCCCCCTGAAGCAGTGACATTGCCACTGAGATCTGAACACAGAGTGATGGTTAGATAAGTGAATGGGGTTGCAGAACCATCACAGAGGGGCCCCCACCGAAAAGAGCAGGTCCTTTTGGGGGACACCACAGCAATGAGAATAACTGAGCCTTTGGATTTATTTCTACAGAGAGCTCCCGAGGCTTTAAGCAGGGCTTCCAGGTGACCTGATCTGCTGTTCTAAATGACCATTCAGGGTCCGCTGTTAAAGAAGGGTGCTGGGAGGGCCATTCGAAGGCTCTTGGTGCAGTCCATGCTAGGAGAGTGGTGGCTGGGACCTGTGTTAGCAGTGAGGGTGGAGGGAAGTGGAGAGATTCAAGAGCTATTCAGGAGAAACTGTAATAGGACTTGCTGGGTGAGTGAGTAGGAATCAAGGAACACCCATGATTCTGATATGAGGAACTGGGTGGGTGTTGGACCCTGTACCGGACAGGATATGCCTGCGGAGACTCGAGTTTTGGGGGTTGGGATGATGAACTCAGTTTACATGCTCTTTGCATCAGGGCAGAGGGTTTCAGTAAGGAGTGATTGGGTCACAGAGTCAGGGCTATCTGGGCTGAGCCAAGTCACCAAGAAATAGCCATTGATTTAGTGACAGGGGCCACTGGCGAGAAAAGACAAATAACCACAATGCAATGCTGAATATGACCATTCTGGAGTTCAGGAAGGAAGAGGCATTCTTACCTGAGAGGCTGACTTTGAGCTTGAGAATGAGGCTGTCCTAGGGAGGGCGGGCAGGGAGGGCAGTCTGGGGGGAGCTGACTGTAAGCCAGGCAGAGAGAGGCAGGTGGTGCTGGGAATCTGACCGGGGAGCAGGAGCACTGCAGGGACCTCAAGCGGGGCTCTGGGAACTTTGACTAAGGACACGCCTGGGATGTGTGGAGCGTGGTTCTAGGAAGAATCTTTGTTTATTAGATCTGCAGGAGTCTGTTTCCAAAGCCAGGTGAACTGATGGGCAGTGTTTCAAATCACCTTCGTGTGCTGTCCAAGGTGGCAGGCTTGGTCACACGGGCTGCTGGCCATTTGGCATGTGGTGGTCTGAACTGGGATGAGTTGTTAGGGTCAAATACACACCAGATTTCATGCCAGAGACCTCACTGATGATTTCTTTACCTTGATGGCATGTGGATATGATCATATTTTAGGTATTTGGGGGTAAATAAAATGTGTTATTAAAATTAACTTCACCTATTTCTTAATGTTTTAATGTGCCTGGAAAATTTTAAAAATACATGTGGCTCACATGATATTCCTATTGGGCAGTCTTGAGCCAGGTGAAGGAAAATCTTAAATGTTCTCTCGTGAATAAAAGCATAGGGAACCCCGCTGGTTTGGCTGAGTGGTTGAGTGTGGACCCATGAACCAAGAAGTTACTGGTTAGATTCCGGGTCAGGGCACATGCCCAGATTGTGAGCTCATTCCCCAGTAGGGGGCGTGCAGGAGGCAGCCAATCAATGGTTCTCTTTCATTGATGTTTCTTTTCTTTTTTTATAATACATTTTTATTGATTTCAGAGAGGCAGGAAGAGGGAGAGAGAGATAGAAACATCAATGATGAGAAAGAATTCTTGGTTGGCTGGCCTCCTGCACACCCCCTACTGGGGATCGAGCCCGCAACCAGGCATGTGCCCCTGACCGGAATTGAACCCGGACCCTTCAGTCCTAGGGCCGACGCTCTATCCACTGAGCCAAACCGACTAGGGCTCTCATTGACGTTTCTATCTCTCTATCTCTCTCCCTTCCTCTCTCTAAAATCAATAAAAACATAAAATAACTAACTAAATAAAAGTATAGGGACAAGAGTATGGATATTGATATTTCAGACCCTTATGCAATTTAGATGCTACTCTCACTGTTTATCATTGTTAAAAATGAAAAGGTTAGTAATGCTGAGCTTTGTTATCTTAATTCGAGTTTTGCTTTTGATTTAAAACCTCTGGGTGCTGAGTTGAGAAGCGTGCTGTGTTCCCCCGGCCCATTAGCTATGTCTTAGGTCAGTGGTTCTCAACCTGTGGGTCGCGACCCCTTTGGCGGTCGAATGACCCTTTCACAGGGGTCGCCTAAGACCATCCTGCATATCAGATATTTACATTACGATTCATAACAGTAGCAACATTACAGTTATGAATTAGCAACGAAAATAATTTTATGGTTGGGTCACAACATGAGGAACTGTATTTAAAGGGCCAGAAGGTTGAGAACCACTGTTTAGGTGAAGCTGAGCATCGCTCTTGAGTCACATATGAAAACCTTCAAGAAGGGAGCGTTTTGGCTGCCGTCCACACAGACACACCTATAAAGTCACCCCAACTACCCAGAGAGCTACCCTGAGTTTGATGATGTCGGAAACGCCTCGGTTCCCCTCAGGAAGCGTGGCCTGGCCTGCCGGAACCCCAGCCTTTTCTAGGGGTCATGTGGGTACAGGGGCCGCCTCTGGCAGGGACATCTCTAGGAAGCAGGGCACCGCCTCCCTTGGCACCGCGTGCCCTTCCTGCCAGGAGAGCGGCTCCGCCTTCCCCTCCCCAGCTCCCCAGCCTGTGCTGGGGCCCATGCGGAGGTCAGAGGAGCCGGGAATTTCTGCAGGAGAGACTGACAGGTCAGGGAGACTTGCAGGATGGACCTGTAGAAATGCTCCTTTCCTTGTCTGGCCTTGACTTATGTGTTGACAAGTTTAAGAAGGACAAGGGAAGGAAGACAAGAAACCTGGTAAGAGGATTAAGGGCTGCAAAGCATTGCAGGAGATGTGCAGGGCTGGATGAGGAGGTGGGTCTGCAGGGGCAGCGGGGTGAGGAGTGGGGAGACGGGCGCAGGGCGAGTGTGGATGGAAGCAGCACAGGCTTGGGCTGGCGCCAGGGCACAGGCTGTGTTTCCAGGAGGAAGAATTGCCCTGTCATCCCTCTGATCCTCTGGGAGGAGGCGGGAGGCCGAGGGATAGGTTGGGGGCCTTGTTATCTCCTGGAGGGCTGAGTATTCATCTCTGGATGCAGACGCCTCTTCTCGCTGTCTTTGCAGGATGAATTGGATCTCACCGACAAGAACCGGGAGGCGGTGTTTGCTCTGCCCCCTGAGAAGAAATGGCAGATCTACTGCAGCAAGAAGAAGGTGCCCCCTCTCACCCTTCCGCCGCAGCTCAGGGTCCACAGCTCGGGGTGTATTTGTTATACACAGCTACGGGCTAGGTGTTGGAGGGACGACAGTGAATAAATCAGGACAAAAAAAATCCCTGCTCTCACGGAGCGCACACTCAGGAAATAGGTTCTGTTTTTCCAAAGCCCTTTAAGCAGGTGCCTGCTGGGACCCAGGAGGGGTGCTGGTTAGGGAGGCACACAGACCACAGGTCTAGACTCCCTTCCATGCCTGACCGCACCTGGAGGGCGGCCACCCTGGGCCGTAGGTGGGGCAGCTGTGTTGTGAGGACCAGTTTGGGAGGGGAGGGGCATCTTCAGCACCTGCCCTGCCCTGTCTCAGGCTCAGCCTCACAGGCCAGCATGCCTGTCAGGTCACACAAGAAGGTCACACATCGGTCCCGTTCTCCCCTCCCCCCCTCGCCTCTAGTTCATTTGACCCTGGTCCTCCCTAGAAAGGGGTGTGCGGCTCCAGTCAGGGCTTAATTGGATTTTATCTCCTCCCTCCACGTTTCTTCTCTCCCTCTTCCTTTCTCCATCTCTGTGTCTCTTTCGCTCATCTCTTTCTCTCTGTGTCTCTTGCCCCCTGTGTGAGCCCATCTGTTTCTTTCAGTCTGTTTTCCTTTTCTTGACCTCTTTCCTCTCTCCCTCCCCTCTCCGATTTCTCAGACTTGCAGCTTCTCCCTTTGACTTCGGTGTGCAGGTGTTTGGGGGTTAGAACCTGGCAGAGCCCCGCACCAAGAGGCTGACTGTGAAATGGGGGCGGGGGGACTAGCGTCACTCACCATTTAGAGTTGGAAGGCACTGAGCAACAGTCCAGTCCAGTCCAGTCCTTTATTCTGCACATGAGGCGAGAAAAGCCTCGCGAGGCAGTGGCTCAGCCAGACCCACTGCTGCTATGGCTGTGCCCCGGCTAGAGCCCCGCCTGCTGGGTCTGCGGACCTGAGGTGAGCTACGTGGGCTGCACACACTGCAAGTCATTGTCTGCTGCACTCAATGCACATGCATTAAGCACCTGCAGAATACCACGTTCTGTGTCTATGAATCTCACTCTCAGAAAAGCACGTCTTAAAAAAAACACAAGTCGTGGGAGGAAGGGAGGGAGGGATGAGAAAATTAATTTCGGGAGTAATTAACCCTGTCCCATGATTCCCCACTTTCCAAATTGAGTTACCGTGGAGTTCCTTTAAGTCGATCTCTTATACAGCTAAAATATTTTAAACAAGTTATTAAAAATGTAAGGAGTTCTCTCTCTCTCTTCCAAATCAAATCGTGTGCAATTTCCCCACCCACGGTCACACCCCACGCTTTCCACACCGGGCTTCTTGTCTGCAGTGCCCTCGCCACTGTCTTCGCTTTAGTCATCCTCAGTAACTCAGCCAGTCCCCAGCCCCACCGCCTCACCCCTCATGAGCCTGGGCTGTTCGATGTCCCCCCAAGGTTTCGGTGGCCCCTAGGGACAGTTCTTCCAGAGAGCGTTTGTCATCGCGCCTCTGACACTATGAAGGCACAGATTATGACTTTTTGCTCAGTACTTTCAAGACTCAGTGCAGTGGTTGGCATGTAGTAAGTGCTCATTAAATGCATATGAAGTGGATAAAGGATGAGCCAGCAAATAAGGCAGGGAAACGTGTGTTTTATGATGGATTTGCTGTGGGTTTTGTGATCCCTTCTGCAAGGTAGAAGATAGAATTTGGGGGCCTCAGGCATGGGGATTTCATACAGATAAGTCACATGAAGTCACAAAGACCAAGTCAAGACAGCTTTCCCACTGGTCTAAAATTTGCATTTCATGAAACTAAATCCTGGAGCCTGAATGGACAGAGCTGAGAGGTTCAGGGTAAAGTCCAAGCCAGCTGGCAGAGAGGTTCTGGAGGAGGCAAATTTCATGCTGATTTGGAAGCAGAGATTTGGCAAAGAGAAGCCGGTAGGAGCGGCCAAATGGGACGGGGACAGGGACAGGAGGGAGCAGGGGCTGGGTAATGCCCAGAGCAGACCCTCTGGCAGAGGGGAGGCCTGGGTTTTCAGTCAGCGCGGATGTTTATCCAGCTCCCATCTTTCTTGTCCGCTGGGGGAGGATTGGGGCTTTTTCTCGGTACCTGACAGCTGGGCCAGAGGCCCTCTGCTCTGGGCTCTGCCTCTCAGCTCCACGGACCCCTCCTGAGTCTTCCCCAAACCAGGGTCTTTTCCTCTTTTTGTAAAGTCATTATTTATTGAGCACCTACTATGTGCCAGGAACTGCACCAAATGCTTTTATATCAATGCTTCTCAAACTATCTGGGAGAGAGAGACCAAGTTTTTAAATTCCCAAACCATCACAGACCAAAACACTTTTGTAGAATACAATGAGGCTATTATCAGAAAAATAAAATTTGAAAAAAAAAACACAAAAAGAGATATACCAGCACAAATTTTTATTAGCTTCAACAGACATAAAATTATATTTTGTGAAATAGGATCAGAAGAAATACAAAAAGGAAAATGACTTTATTTTTAATTGCACATATTGTTCATTGAACGTGTATATACCTGCCTGGTTTCTGCCCACGTCACTGGCTGGTAGTGAGATTCGGGGTTTATTAGCCACATTTTGCCGAGGCGGAAAGGGAAGCTGGGAGACTGATGATTCCCTTGCCGCCTCCCTCTAGGTGGGGCTGGGGAATGACTGTTGGGGCTGAAGCTGAGGACCGCGGGCCACGGCCTGCCTTGCTGGTTGGTCCTTACAAGTCTTCTTGTTCCAGGAGCAGGAGGACCCCAACAAGATGGCGACCAGCTGGCCTGACTATTACATTGACCGCATCAACTCCATGGCTGCGGTGAGTGGCGCTCCTCTCCTGCCCTGGTCCCACCTGAGAGGCTATGGGGGCGAGTGAGCCTCCATCATCTCCCCCTGCACCTCACACCCCGCCCCCTGGGATCAGAGCCCAAGATGCTGTCATCATCCCTCCCTTCTCCATGTGACTTCAGAGTGTCCCCACCATTTAACCGCTTATTTGCCACGGAAGTTTGGGAGGAAGGCTGGGCCAATAATTCTCCCCATTTTACAGATGAGGAATGTGAAGTCCAGGCCAGAACCTGTGTCTTCTCATAGTCTGACAGTCTGTCTTAGTCAACCATTCCCTGGTCTCACCCTTCCTGAGGCCAGGGTGGCCCCTCACACTGGGGGTGGGGGTGCAGGGGCTGGGAGACGGAGCCCAGCATGACCTCTCGCTCTGTACCTGCCTCAGATGCAGAGTCTGTACAAATTCGATGAGGAAGAGATAGAGATGAGGAACCAAGTGGTGGAAGCCCTGAAGACGGCTCTCCGGACGCAGCCCATGAGGTGTGTTCCTCCTTCCCTCGCCTCCTTCCACTGCCCTTCGCCCAGTGCTTGCCTCAACTTCCTAAAGCTCCAATCACTTCCCATCCTGGTCTCCTTGGCCAGCTCCTCTCCCCAGCATCCCCTGGAGCTGACCTCATTCCAGCTCCCACACCCACTTTCTCTGAGGAGCTGCGGATGGACATGTTGGGGAGGAGGGGGGATGAACACAGGAAAATGGAATACATCTCGGGTCTTTGTAAGAGCTATCCAAAGAGATATGGAGGACAAGTACTTGCTTTTCTTGGGAGAATAGAGCAGGAAGGAAGGGAGCCATACATTCAAGGCTTATAAGAAAGAGCTCTGAGGATGAGGTCTCCCGAGTGTGGGTGAGAAATACTCCAGCCACTAGGGGGAGCTGTGGTGTCCATGGATGAGAGTCACCACCAGAGTGGGAGCAATAAAAAAGGCCAGGAAAAGGGGATGGGTGCCTCAAAGGCTGGAGAAGAACCCCCCACTCCCCAGGCCACATAGTACAAGGTTCCAAAGAGGGGGCAAGAGCCATGGGTTCTTCTTGTGCCTGGGAACGGGCTCACACCAGTTTGTGAGAGCCAAGTGTTCAATTTTTAGCATTTTTGCAAACTATGTTATACACAGTTATGACTAAAATGTAACTTAATATAAATTTATGATTAAATTACGTCAAAAACAAAGGTAATAAATACTCGAAACTTATCACTCCCTAATTACCTAATGATTTTACAGACCCCATTTTACTATAATGTAAAATCTTCACTATCACTTATGCTCGAGTTTGCGCCTGTTGTATGTGCCTGGTGGAAACACTATAAATGGCACATCTCTTCCCAACTCCACGTTCAAGGAGGTCACATTGGTGGCTTGAAATCGGCTATGCTGGGAGCATTTATACCATGGAAACTGGCAAACACTACAATCAGGCCTTTTTAAATTTCTCCAGAGAGCCAGTCTTTTAACATTTACTAGTACTGGTCTGCGAGTGTGTGTGTGTGTGTGTGTGTGTGTGTGTGTGTGTGTGTGTTGTCTGGACTGAGCTCTCACCCCAGGAGCCTGGAAACAGAGCCTCAAGGAGAATGGAACATCCTATTTTCCACTTGTCTCTCAGATTGCGGGGCGAGGAGAGGGGTCTGGAATGGGAAGGAGATGCAGGAAGGATGAGGGTCCGGAAGCAACGGGGTTAAGGGGACGCTTCCAGGTCTGTGTCCCCTTCAGTTTATTTTCTTTCCCCGGGTATACCTCTGACGGCAAAAGTTACACAAGGTCATGGTGGCAATTTTGTGGAATAGAAAAACCTATAATAGTGTAAATAACACTATTTTAACAACTTAATTTGAGAGTAAATTTTATTTTTTTAGGCCTATTTGTGTAATGTAGAGATACACACAAATATACTTGGGATCAAATGTATTCATTACCTTTTTAAATAGTCAAATAAAATAAAATTAGATGGGAATAAAAAAAAGCAAGCCAATTAAAGTGAAATACAGTTACCAAATATTAAAGTTTTGCGAGATAGCAATAAATGTGCCTTAAATAGCAAGAACTAGCAACTGCAGTCATTTGGAAGCGCTGATGAGTGAAAGTGATATTTTGAGATGCCTACAATGATTGTAACTTGATATGAAGATCACTCTGGTTTCTTGGGGGACAAAGTCACAGATTCTGCTAATACCACTGACATTGATTGCCTTCATTTATCATGGAAGGAATTGCTGAATTTCAGTTGAAGGTTGCCAAAAATAAAAGTACAGGTATACCTCGGAGATACTGTGGGTTTGGTTCCAGACCACGGCAATAAACTGAATATCACAATAAAGTGAGTCACATGAATATTTTGGTTTCCCAGGGCACATAAAAGTTGTGTTTACAATACTGTAGTCTGTTAAGTGTGCATTAGCATTGTGTCTAAAAAACAATGTATGCACCTTAAAAATACTATATTGCTGAAAAATGCTAACCATCATCTGGGCCTTCAGCAAGACATAATCTCTTTGCACTAGCTGTGAAGCACAATAAAGCATAGTGCAATAAAACAAGGTATGCCTGTATAATTTTATTTTTCCACCCAAGTCCCTGGACCCCTGAATGCTAGCCATAGATCGACAGAGTCCAGGTTAAGAACCACTGAACTAAATGGTTTTTACTGTTTTCTTAAGGATCCCTAGCAGAGTACCTTCTGGAGCCTTGGCCCTTTGACTTTTGACTCTGATGCATCTCACCCACTCACCCACCCATGGTTGAGAAATCCTTCTTATTGTCTGACTGCAATTCTCTTAATTCCCATCCTCCCTGGAGATAAGTCTTCAGGTTTAATAGCCCTAATAGTTATTGTAATAATTATCATAATCATCGCCTTCCCTTGCACAGCACCATAGCTATGCAACTGGCAGTCAATGACATGCAAACGAACAGTATTTAAAATGCAAACAAGCCGAAACCGGTTTGGCTCAGTGGATAGAGCGTCAGCCTGCGGACTGAAGGGTCCCAGGTTCGATTCCGGTCAAGGACGTGTACCTTGGTTGCGGGCACATCCCCAGTGAGAGATGTGCAGGAGGCAGCTGATCGATGTTTCTAACTCTCTATCTCTCTCCCTTCCTCTCTGTAAAATACCAGTAAAATATATTTAAAAATAAAATGCAAACAAGATGTGAGTCCCCCATGAGCATGCTAGGATGTCAGTGTTTTAGATACACTGTGTAGATGAGCCAAGTGGTCACTATAGGTGGGACACAATGGAGCAGGGGTCATGGGATGCCTCTGCAAATAGCTGTACAGAGTAATATGCAAGTGCAGGATGCCCATTCCATTCCACTAACGGCTCTGGCCTGGACAGGTTCGTGACCCGCTTCATCGAGCTGGATGGCTTGACCTGTCTGCTGAACTTCCTCCGGAGCATGGACCACGCCACCTGCGAGAGCCGCATCCACACCTCTCTCATTGGCTGCATCAAGGCTCTGATGAACAACTCTCAGGGGCGGGCTCACGTGCTGGCGCAGCCCGAGGCCATCAGCACCATCGCGCAGAGCCTGCGCACGGAGAACAGCAAGACCAAGGTGGCCGTGCTGGAGATCCTGGGCGCCGTGTGCCTGGTGCCCGGCGGCCACAAGAAGGTTCTGCAGGCCATGCTGCACTACCAGGTGTACGCAGCTGAGCGCACGCGCTTCCAGGTGAGGGCCCACGGCCGGCTTGCAGAGGGACCTGAAGAGATAGGGCTTTGGCTAGGAAAATGGACTTCTTGCTAGAACGTGGGTTCCCTGAGGCTGGGATACTGGTTTGTTTCATTCTCGTGGCTCTGTCTCTCTGAGTCCGGCACCTGGCTCATTAGAGGGACTCAGGGAAGAATTGTCTAATTCATGCAATTGTTGGGCTTAAGATTTTAGCCCAGGTGCCTACGACGGGGACCCTGGGGACAGTCCTGTGAGCTCAGGCCAGGCTGTTCTCTTTTCTTCTCCCTGGCCTGCCCCAGACACATGCCAGTGAGGTAGACAATAAGTATAACATGTCTTGGAATAGAGTAAGTCTCCATACACGTGAACCGTCCTTACAATCTGTGGCTTATCCACCAGGATAGGCTATTTGTTTATTCTATCATCCAACATTGTTAAGCACCGACTCTGTGTGAAAAGTGGCCCCTGGCCCTTTGCAGAAGATAAGAAAGAGACAAAGGCAGTGGCGTGCTGTGGAGGAGCTGTAAGGTGCCAGAGCAGAATTTCAGCACGGTCCAGCAAAATCACCCAGCCCTGAGGCCGGGTGGAGAGGAAGTAAGGCAGGGCTGGGACTGAGGCGTGGAGAGGCAAAGGATGCTTCTCGAAGCTGTGGCGAAGGCCCCGGATAAGTTGGGTAGAGAGAATGGACGGGGCATTCTGGCGGTTGGGATGGCAGGAGAAAAGGCACAGAGGCTGGACCTCTAGGATCCTGAGTTCCCCCCTCCTCTCCCGTGCTGCCTTCCCATCCAGACCCTGCTGAACGAACTGGACCGAAGCCTGGGCCGGTACCGGGATGAAGTGAACCTGAAGACAGCCATCATGTCCTTTATCAACGCCGTCCTCAATGCTGGCGCCGGGGAGGTGAGGCATCTTTCCTCGCCCTGGCTGTGCCCTGACTTTCTAGACCTGAGACAGCGTGTGTGCCTCCTGGGGAAGTAGCAGAGGGGAGGGCCAAGGCGTCTGTCTGGGTGGCTGCCACTGCCATCATTGTCTTTAGCACTTCTTGCTGCCTTCTCTTGGGCGGAGAAGGAATAGCTTGTCATTAACCTTGCTGTCAGGAGAGGCTCCTGGGAGTGTCCTGCACAGGTAGCATCGTGCATGATGTGTGTCATGGGCAAACCCCATCTGGGCTGGCTGATGGTGGCTTAGGGCGGTGGGATGATTTATGGGAAGAGGAAAAGTGTTGGCCCTTCTTTTTAGAGTTTTCTAAAGATCTGCTGTGGACTGGTTTCTGGGTTGGCTAGTCATGCTCTTCTAGCGCCTTCTGTTAGGAGGTCTGACTTCTCATTTCTTTCCTTTGGGGTCAGAATGGGATTTTCAGACCATAAAAATAGCAATAATTAAAGAATAATTAGTCAGATGCCTCAGTCAAGGTCAGCTTATTGAAGGATAAAAGGGGCACTTTAAAAATCTGTACTTTTCCCTTTTTTCTGCCAGCATGTTTTTTGGTTTTTGTTTTTTTGTTTTGTTTTGTTTTGTTTTGTTTTACCCAATCCTAATGACCTCAGTTAGGTGAGGTGGATTTGGGGAATAATCTGTCCCTAAGATGCTGACAACACCTTTGTCATTACTAGCTATTTATGACTGACATCTGTTCTGATTAATTGGTAACTATAACTCATCAGGTAATATTTACTAACACCATTCCTGTAGGTCAAGCATGTCAAACTCGCGGCCCACGGGCCGCATGCCTTGTTTATATGGCCTGTGTTAGGCTTTGAGTTTCACAAGCTTGCTGTAGGTAATATCATGACCATCTTACAGATGAGGAAACTAAGGCTTTCCCAAAGTCACAAAACTAGTAAAAGTGACAGAGTAGGGATTTGAACCAAGATCTGTCTGATTCCAAAGCTTGTGTTTTGTATCCCTGTACAACACTGCCCTTTGATGCCAAACGCTACGAGACTCAACGGAGCTGAGGCAGGAGACCTACAGGGAGTGGATTAACGACATCAGAAGATGTCTCCTCCCACCCTTCCTTGGGACTCTGGGACTTGAAGCAGTTCCCGTTGAGTGGGCTGCAGAAGTGGAGGGATGATGACTGCAGTGGCTGTGAGGGTCCCCTGGGGACTTTGTGGAAATCGAGACCAGCCAAAGAGTCTGGTCCTTCCTTGCTGACCCCCTAGGACAATCTGGAGTTCCGCCTACATCTACGGTACGAGTTCCTGATGCTGGGGATACAGCCCGTGATTGACAAACTCCGGCAGCACGAGAACGCCATCCTGGACAAGTAAGGCCCATGCCACCCATCCCCATGGCAGACCTATGGGGACAGAGCCTTGGTGGGTAATGGTCACAACCTTCATGGAGGCTGCCCTTCCCACTGGAGACCACCTGCCACACCCAACATCCATGCAGAATCAGCGCTGTGTGTGGGGTGGGCTGTGGCTCCCCATCCCTTGTCCCACGTCTTACCTATATCCCTACCTGTCCTCTTTGCTGACCTGCTGTCTCATCTCTGATGTTATAGACAGGTGGACCCTGTAGTCCTCAACCGTGGCAGTACTTCCCCCCTGGGGGGCATTTGGAAACATGTGGGAGTGTTGTTTGGTTTTCAGACTGCCTGGTTGTTAGGGACCAGAAATGCTGAATGTCCTACAGGGCGCTCCTGCTCAACAGAAATGGCCCACTCAGAAGACAAGCCATAAAGCCCTTTGTTGGTCAAGGGCACAGTTACATTCCCGTGTGTTACTAGCAGCCCCTCTGGTTCTGTCCCATGGGTACAGGCATTTTATTACACTGGACCTTAAGGGAAAGAGGGTGAATCCTTTTGAAGTGGAGAGGAGAGTGAATGGGGTGGAAAATGAGTAAGATTGACCTTGAGGGCTTACATGGGGACAACATGAGAACACTGGGAAGGTATATGTAGGACAGTAGTCCCTGACTGGGAGCGATTTTACCCCCACCCCAGGGACATTTGGCAATGCCTGGAGACATTTTTGGTTGTCACAACTGAAGGTGGGGGTGCTACTGGCATCTCGTGGGTGGAAGTCAGATGCTGCTGAACCTCCTGCAACTGATATAACCTCCCATAACCAAGGGTAATCCAACCCCGATGTCAATAGTGCTGACATTGAGAAAGCCCCGGGTTGGCCTCCCTGAGGGAGTCTATACAGGGGAGTGTTGCCTACAGATAGCTGCTTCCTTCTGGTTTGGCATTGGCCTCACCTGAATGAAGCTTTCAGGTTTAGCTGGTGGGGGCTTGAAGGGGCTGTAACCCTTCAAGGATGTCCTGATGCTAATGTCTGCGCTCTCTATGCTCCCATCCTCTCTAGGCATTTAGACTTCTTCGAGATGGTCCGGAATGAGGATGACCTGGAGCTAGCCAGGAGGTTTGACATGGTGAGGCTCCTGCTAGGGGGAGGTGACTGTGGCGGTCCAGGTGGCCCCACAGCGGCTTCTACAGCTCCTGTGCTTGGTGGGCCTAGCATTGGTTGGGTTCCTGGTGGGTCCCCCCATGGCCAGGTCCTGTTTCTGGATGCCTGGCAGTATGTTGGCTCAGGTGAGCCTCACCTGGTGGGTTTCACCTGGTAGAGTATTTACCCCCTAGTGCCGTGGTCGACAAACTGCGGCTCGAGAGCCACATGCGGCTCTTTGGCCCCTTGAGTGTGGCTCTTCCTAAGCCTTAGGAGTACCCTAATTAAATTAATAACAATGTACCTACCAATATAGTTTACGTTTAAAAAATTTGGCTCTCAAAAGAAATTTCAATCGTTGTACTGTTGATATTTGGCTCTGTTGACTAATGAGTTTGCCGACCACTGCTAGTGGGTCACAACCCCCAGAGGAAGGATAGACATTCTTTCTTTCAGCTGAGTAGTCTCAAATGCTGCTCCTGGACAACTCTCCCCTGCCTTCTAGCGATCCTGAGTCGCCTCCTCCCATCACTCACCAGATCATGCTTAGCAAACAAAATCATATTTTCATTTTAGCCCTAGTAACCCTGAAACACACAACTCTGCTGCTTAAATTTTGTACTATAAAACCCCCATCCAAATAGAAACCTGCTTTGGGTGGTGCTTCAGTCACGAACCACCATCCTGTATATTCTCTGAAAGTTCCTGGATTTACAGACACAGAAGCAAGTTAGAGAGGCCGGGCAGCTGGCCTGTTGTCACAACCAGAGGGCAGGCCTGGGGCTGAGCCCAGGCTGTGGACCCGTGTGCCATGTGCTTCTTCACTCACCTGTGTCCCTGCTTCCTTCCCTGGGTTTGAATCAGTAGTTCTCAACCAGGGCCGACATGTCTTGAGACATTTTTAAGTTGTCACAACTAGTGCGAGGAGGATGCCACTGGCATCTGATAGACAGAGGCCAGGTTGCTGCCAAACACCCTACAGTGAACAAGGCAGCCCCTACAACAAAAATGACCTGGTCCAAGATGCCAATAGGCCGAGGTTGAGAAACCCTGGTTATATAATTAGCTTATCTCCCTCTCATCCCTGGGCCTGAGGCAGGGGAAGGTGGGTCCTCCTGGGGGATGGTGCAGTGGATGGAGGCAGGGTCTTCTCTCCCCTATTCTCTTCCTCACTGTCTCCCCCAACCAATCACTGCTGCCCCCAAACCCCCAGGTCCACATCGACACCAAGAGTGCTTCCCAGATGTTTGAGCTGATCCACCGGAAGCTGAAGCACACGGAGGCCTACCCCTGCCTGCTGTCGGTCTTGCACCACTGCCTGCAGATGCCCTGTGAGTAGCCAGCACCTGCCACTTCCTCAGCCAGCCCCTGGAGGTCAGGCCAGGACTCAGGCCCCTGCTCTTCCCTCCCTCCTAAGGGCAGGACTTCCACTATCACCTTGGGCAGTTGTTGGACTTGGCCCCGAGCAGTGCCAATATCCCAGTCCAACAAACAGTACTTGATCACCATGAAATCAGACAGTTCTGACAGGGGATGAGCAGACTTCTTGGGGAGTTCCAAAAAGGTCTGTGTTTGGGGGATGGCACAGATGTGCCATAAGCAGGCCAATTTTTTGAAAATCAATTCCTCCAGCCAGTCCTTGCTGGAACCCACCCTTGCCCCTGTCTCTCTTTTCAAATGTCAGCATCTACAGGAGCAGATGCTAAGCTCTTAAGATCCAAGTGTGCACGGTGACTGTATAAATTACACATAATTATTGATAAGCCACTCCAGCATGCAACTTGAAATAGTACCATTTGGTATCTAAGCTCTTCACAAAATGGAATATTTGGAAAGTCATCGTCAACCTAGACAGACTCTCTTTGATGGTAGTGAAAGTGGTGATGGTGGTGATGGTGACAAGGACAGTTTACTGTGTGCCAGCTCTGGGCCAGGTGCAGTGTGAGGTCCTTTGGCACAGTGTCTCTGAACCTCAGAATGATGTATGGAGTGAGCATTATGATCTTGTTTTCAGTGGATGAACTTGAGGCTGAGCCAGTCACCTCTGTTTCTTTGGGGTCAGGGCTCTGGATGACACGTGTTCTGCTTCTGTGAGCCAGTGTCCTGGCTCCACCCTGGTTTCCTGGGTGAAAGGTAAATGGAGCATGACACCACGTGGCAATACCCGTGTCGGTGGGGTGGTGGAAAAAACAAACAAACAGACCCAGTGGCTGGGATTGGAAACCTCTCAGTTCTTCTCCAAAAGTCAGTGCAGAGGTCTTCATGGAAGACACGGGAAGGTCCTGGGAAACCTGACTTCTGCCCCAAGTCCCTGTGCTTGGTGTCCCATGGGCACGTGTCTGGGTCTCTCTATCTACTTCAGAAGGGGCTTTACAGACATGATCTTCCATCTTGTAGGCATTAATGATTGGACTTCAAGGTCAGGATCATGCTGGTTGACCTTCCTTGGTGATTGGGGATCAAGAACCAATGAAGAGTGTCTATCTCAGAAAAAGTCTATGCCAGCCAGACTATGATTAGAGGGGATGAGAGTGGGACCCCGTGAGATCGGGCACAACACACAATGCCTTTGCCTTCAGAGTTCAGGGTCACCTTCACCAAAACAAACCTTCCTGAAACAAACCTTCCTGGGTTCCATCACCACTTCTCCGATCCAGTCTGATTCCCTCTCTGTGCACACCTGCAATTAGTTTCCAACAATAGCATAGATATTGCCCTAAAACCTCTTCTTTTATAAAAATTTCCCTGCAGACTTCCTTATTCAGCATGTAATATTTTGGAGCAGATTTGCCTTCTGAAAGGCTTTTTTTAAGGTAATTGAAAAAGCAATTTGCATTCCCAAGGCCTAGCATGCTTGGGTGCCCACAGGGAAGAAAAGCAGACAGGAAGCATTGCAGAGAAATATGTCCAGAGGTTTGACACAGTCAGAGGGTCAGTCACAGATAATCAAGAAATGGCTGGATTGGAGATTCTCCATCATCGGCAATTGCATTGCCTCCCGCCCCTTGGGAGCTTGCCAAGGGGGTGGGGGGCATCTCACCAGCCTGGGCCCAGGCAGTGACTCTAGGGTGAGGCTCCAGGGGCTCCAGAGCTCAGTGTAGATGCAATACCTGTGTCCCTCAGACAAGCGGAATGGCGGCTACCTGCAGCAGTGGCAGCTCCTGGACCGCATCCTACAGCAGATTGTCCTCCAGGATGAGCGGGGCGTGGACCCTGACCTGGCTCCCTTGGAGAACTTCAACGTCAAGAACATCGTCAACATGTGAGCAGTGGCGAGCCCTCCCCTGTCTTCCTCCTCCTTCTCATCTCTCTCCTACCTGGGGATCTCACTCCCCTTCTCACCCCAGACATCTCCACACCAGCCTGGAGCAGCACTGTCCAAAGGAACTCTGAGATCACAGAAGTGGTCCATATCCACCCTGTCCACACATGGCTGCCGAGCACTGATATGTGGCTGGTGTGACTGAGGAACTGAATTTTACATTGCATTTCCTTTTAATCAAATAACCATATGACATATGGCTAGTGACACCATATTGGACAGCACAGCTGGGGGTTACCTCTCACTGGTCCATTGAGTGGAGTGGATAGAGGAGGAGTTTAAACTCATCAACACAGAGGAGGAGTCAGCAGGCCATGCCTGTGGGCGAACTCCCCAACTTGTGTTTGTATGGTCCATGAGCTATGAAGAGATTTTACACTTTAAAAGGGTTGTTAAAAACACAAGAATCTGCAGCAGAGACTGTACACAGTATGTAAACCTCTGTCCCTTTAGAGGTTTTCCAACTGCTGATGCAGGGCAAGACCATTTAGCCATGAGGTTATGGGACAAGGATGGCACAGCCTTACTTCTTCTGACCTTACAGTCTTTGTCTGACCCTGGGTACAGAGGAACAGAGAGCAAGTTCCAAGTCACATCAATCATATTCAGACCTTATGTTCTGAATATTGATTTTAAACTTAAACACTGAATTTTAATTTGAAATGTTTATGTATCTTTCAGCATAAATTTTTAATTTTAAACACTGAATTTTAATTTTAAAATTTTAACGTTAAGCTTTTACTTATTTTTCAGCGTAAGTCTGAGCCAGTTGCCCTTAAGGAGATTAAATAGGCTCTCACTGATTTGTTGTATTGCATTTCAACACCAAGCAGAAAATGACTCTTAAACAATCCAGCTACTGCCAACAAACTCTAGAGAGCTATTGGGCCCCAGCTCAGCAGCGCTGTCCTGCTTAATGCTTCCTCCCTCTCTGGACCTGCCCAGCCCCAAGTCAGACCCCAGTCCACCATGCCTCCTGCCCAGTGTCAAGGAACCTGGGTCAAAACTCTCTGAGAGGCTCAAAGAAGCCATTTCACAGATGGTAGTGAAGGAAGTGGCAGCACCGGGGATGATGGCGGTGGTTCTCCCCAAAGAAATCTCTGCACAAGTTACTTCCCCTCCACACTGTCCCCTGCTTATAGCCTTAGCCTGGTTGAGGAAGCCAAGAGTCATGGATCTCACTCTCCCACATTCTCAGGTTTACCAAAGACATGATTACTGGGGTCTCACCTTGGGGTTCCACCTCCCTTGTACCTCAATGTCTAAATGAAAGCTTACTTTTATCCCAATTGCAAGAGTTCGATATGAATGAGGACTTCTTATAATTTAGACACCCTCCCCGCCTCACCCTCATTCTGTGTTGTTGGAATGGGTGGCCTCTCTCACTCTCACACATTGGTCTTGAGAAGCCTGCACCATGGTAGTGCCAATATTTTGATCTCTGTCAATGCAAAAACCTGTTTTTACAAAGGGGTACAAATCATTACAGCTAAGGAAAGCCTGAGATTGGGCCTAGTTCTACCATTAAAACTGTCTCCAGTCTCATCTCAGGAGCTTCAACTGTTTCACAAAGGGGTTAGATTACAGGGCACCTGAGGGTCCTCGTAGCTTTCACAGTCCAGGGAGAAACACACAGTAAGAACTGGGAAGGGATGGGGACCTGGAGGAACATCTGGAGAGTCAAAATCCTGCCCTCCTCGATGTGGCCAGATGGACTGGGGTCCAGGCACCAATGGGAGGTTGAGTGCCAACGTTCAACAGGACCCTCCTCTGCTCCCCACCAGGCTCATCAATGAGAATGAAGTGAAGCAGTGGCGAGACCAGGCAGAGAAGTTCCGGAAAGGTGAGGAGCTCTGCCATAAACCTGCTCCATGCTCCACACACCCTTCGCGCTGGCCAGC